TTCTTAAAAAAACGATGTCCAGGGGCGTCCGTTATTGGCCACCATCTCCGTAGGGGGGCCGCAGGAAAAAAAATTATAGGAACTTGTAATATTATTTTTATGTGTTATATCTAAATCCGGAAGATTTCCCACATATTCTTTTATTAATTTTAAGCAAAACAACGATTTTCCTGACATACATTTAACGAAATTTATAAATAATAATCTATTATACAAGTAGGTATCTATAATGGATTCTGCAAAATAAAATGAAAACAAAATAATTTATTTTTATTATAACCTTTTACATAATTATTTTTATTTATTTTGATCATAATTGTGGCAAATTTTCAATCATTGTGGTAAACCATAAATGTAATCCCTTTATACGAGTAGGTAAACCAAATATGTTTGGTTTCCTTATTTTGTATAGGTATATATTGTAAAATTAATTGAGCCTTTTTTAAATTAATTACTTAATATAATTTACAAAATACAAACTTAAAAGTTGAAAATATTGAAATAAAAATCAATTCAACGATTGTGTAATCTTTTGCAATAATTTTAAATTTCAAAATTTTAATATTATTTTGTAACATTCTCCACCGGAAAATATTATAACCACGAATTTCTTGAGACATGCTAGAAAGATTTTCTCTTTATCAATTTTAATTTTTGCTAAGACAATCAGATTGCACCTTTTTACCGAATACCTATAGGTAGTATTAAATTGTAACAAAAGCCTTTAAAATTTTATAATTTTTGGGTACCTAGTATCTCGATTTTAAGAGTTTGATAAATAAATAACAGTACGTTGTATTCTAATTAAAAAATTAATACCTTATTAAAAATAAAAGTATAATAAAGCATTATTTTTACCCGTTTCCCGGTAAAATTAAGTTAGAAATTAATGCCAACCCTGATTTTCACTATTTTTAATTTTTAACACCAGTAATTTATATATATTTATATATTTATTTATTTATATCCAACAGGCACAGGGCCCAATTACAGGATTAAGTTTTATACATTGTATTTATTTTAATTCCAAATCTTTCTCAATCCATATACCTACATATCTATCCAAAATCTACATCCCCATCTTGATAATTGTCCTCATTTTACGTTTTCATAATCATTATTACCTTCTAAATCAATAATTTAAATCCATTTAGCAAAAATGTTGGTTTTAATAGAATATTTAACATTTTAAAATAGCCAAATTCCAGAAATTTTCTAAATTAAAAATTATAATTTACGCACAATAAATTATTTGCAATTTATATTATTATTGTTGTCAATAATAATAATAATATAAATTGCAAATTATTTTGATCTAATTTTTATGAAAGAATAGTGCTATTAAATAATATGTGTAATAATGGCAATATTGACGGTTGTATAGTAAAGTGAGAATTTTTTTGTAATGCCAAAACAACAAAGTGTCTTATAGCAAAAAGGACACTTTATGCAATTTTTTGGTATTATAAACTGCGCACCACTCAATGCGTCGCGACCAAAAAGTTCGTCCTTTTTCAAAACGACATAACTTTTTTGCTTCCTTAAACGATTTTATTTTGGTCTGTAATGACTACTAGTAAGTAGTAAGTAAGTAAATTTCGTAGAGGGTGATATGTTAAACGGTGAAAAATTTCAATAACTTCATCCAAGCCCCGTTTGAAAAAATAAATATTTTTTCTCGTTTTTACTTTAAAATAATGAAGTATTATGTCTTACCTTAAATTTTTCGAATTGAAATCTTAGCAACGAAAATATGATTTTTTTCCAAAAGAGTACATTTAAGGGTTTTTGGTAGGCAATACACTCAATCTTTTTAAAAAGAAGAAAATAAAATGGTGAAAGATTGTTCCTTAAATAATTCTGAACAAGCGACAAGCAACAAACTTCCATTACTTTTAGAGAGGCCTAAGCAAATACCACTTTTTCAAAATGGCATTTTGGTGAAAATTTGCGAAAACTAAACCTGAACCGATATTTACGTTCGTGACATGTTTTCTTTATAATTTTGACCTCCTGATTGGGATTCAGTTGTCAAATTTAAGTTTCAGATAAAACCAAAATCACCAAGAATTTGATAACTGAATCACAATCAGGAGGTCAAAATTATGAATAAACCATGTCACGAACGTAAATATCGGTTTAGGTTTAGTTTTCTCAAATTTTCACCAAAATGTTATTTTGAAAAAGTGGTCTTTGCTTAGGCCCTCTGAAAATAATGGAAGTTTGTTGCTTGTCGCTTGTTCATTATTATTTAGGGAACATTATTTCACCATCTTATCTTCTTGTTCTTAAAAAGACTGAGTGTATTTCCTACAAAAAAGCCTTAAATGTACTCTTTTAAAAAAAAATCATATTTCCGTTGTCAAGATTCCAATTCGAAAAATTTGAAAAACGCTACAAGGTAAGACATAATACTTTATTATTTTAAAGTAAAAACGAGAAAAAAATTATTTTGTTACAAACGGGGCTTGGATAAGTTATTAAAATTTTTCACCGTTTAACATATCACCCTGTACGAAATTTACTTGAAGAACCGTGAGCTTCATATCTATAGCATGAATTGTCAAAGGATGAGGCTAGTAGACAACACAGACCACAATAAAATAGTTCACGAAACAAAAAAGTTATGGCGGTTTAAAAAAGTACGAACTTTTTGGTCGCGACACATTGAGTGCGCAGTGTTTAACATAAAAAATTATTATATAAATATAAATTAGGTACGGGGTGGATTATAAAAATGCCCCCATTTTTTCATTTACTTAAAAAATGTCGTACTAAGTATTTTGAATTCTAAGCTTTCCGGAAACTGGTTAATATGTTTTTTTTATTTTCACTATTATTCTATTTTTTTCAATATTAATGATAACCTGTATATAACAGTTATTTAATTTAATATTTTAATTTTAATTTTTTCAGGGCTCCCACAGCTAAATTACAAATTTTATTTAGGAATTTAGGATGTTTTTTGTAAAATTTTAGGAGAAATAAAGTATGGAAATGAATTTCTTTAACTAAATAAAAACAATCCATAGGTACTTAAAAAAATAAGAAGCCAAATCGCTCGACGAGTTTTTTTTTAAATAAAAAACAAGTTTTTTAAATAAAAAAGTGAGGTAAAATTACTACTTTTGTATATATCTGATATACATATATGTATATATACAAGTATAAATTTCACCATACTTTTAATTTTATTTAAAAAAATGCGTCGATAGATTTGGCTAAAAAACTAGGCCAAAATCAAATGGTTATATTTATCGAGATATTTATATTTTAAGAAAAAATATGTTAACCGTTCAGTTATTAACTAACAGTAATTGAATCGGTAAGATTAAGAATAGTTAAATATTTCAAAAATCAGTTTTATAGTTCTAAATGCATTTTTGTTAGAACATTTTAACTATTTTATGAAATATAATATTCATATTCTGTAAAATAATTTATATCTTCTCACAAAAATGTATTTTAAACTTTAAAATTGATTTTAGAAAATAAATTGTCAAAATTAAATTTTTGGACTTGTACCTACTGTTCTTATTCTCACCAATTCAATTGTAATGTGGATCTTAATACTTAAAAATCTCATAACAAAATATGAAGTTTGCAAAATACAGCAAAACATTCTTTGAATTGTTTACTATTTTAGCTGTTACTTAAAAGAAAATTAAAAATCCTTTTGTTTGATATACAGGGTGTTATGTAATTAATGTTATATATTAAAATACTGAATACCTTTTGACATAAGGAATAAAGGAAAAATATTTAAAAAAACATTTTTTCAAAGATAAAGAAAAAATATGCATTAGAAGTTTTTTATATTTTTTGTGATAAGCCACTGGTTACACACTTGTTTATCTCTGCACACCTGTATTTTGTGAGTACATAGATACCAACCAACAAAGTAGCTATGCGTTGCCAGATGTAAAAAATTGTTACTAAAAATTTTTCTTGCAAAAAATAAATAAAAACTCAATAAATACAAAAGTTTTATGCCCTTAAAGCTCTAATACCCTTCTGTATTTATTTACTGATCCAGCTATTAGCTTAAGCAATGATTAGAAAATTTAGTACCTTTGAAATTTGAAATCCATAACCACAAAATTAATTTTTTTCATTAGTTTTTTGCTCTGTTTACTCAGATGAAATTGGGACCAGTTCACAGGTTAAACTTTAAACATTTAATTTGTGTCCAAAAGCAGCCTTAGTTAAGATATTTACAATTTGAAAACACAACCTAAAATTTAAAAGAAATGCACTAGATTCTGTCATAAAAGTTGGCAGATTTTGTTTGAATTTACCTTCAGTACAAAAATGAAATAACCAACAATTAATAAAAACGCCAAATTGACAATTTGCATTGTTAATTTTGTCATTTTTGTAATTAAGCTAAATTTAAACAATGTTTGTCAACTTTTTTGAGAGATTTTGGAAACACTGTGGTTACCAACCATAACATAATAAATCCACCAGATTAACCTAAAGTTCCTAGTCGATCAGTGGCGTACTTTTTGGTAGGATAAAGGTTATTATAAATTATTTTTAGACTTTGGAATTTAGAAAAAAAAAGTTTCAGGTGCTTCTTTATGGACCCTAAGGAACAACCCATTTTAATTATAACATTAGTTACATAACACCCTGTATAACACGGTATATTTTTGACTAAAAAAACGAAATATCGCTAAAAATGACAATTTTGTTGTTTTTTAAGAAAAATTTTGGTTATGATATTATATCATTTTAAAAAGAATTTAATAAAATTTTTTTTAGCACTACCATAATTAAACGCAGTCAGGTTGGCCTATTTAAATTTAATTTATAGGATTTTAGGAGTTTTAGGAGATTGAATGCAATTTTAGGAGTTTTCAAGATTTAAGCAAAATTTTAGGAATTTTATGAGTTTTAGGAGGCCTGTTTTTTACAGTAATATTTTACCAACCAAATAGGCTTTTGGCGGTTTCCAATTGAAAAAAATGAAATATAAAAAATAATTGCAAACTTACCCTTGATCCACTGGCATAGGTCCGGACATTTGCCTTGCCATCATGGCGTGTCCCGGTTCCATGGGTCCAGGCATGGGATGTCCCGGTCCAGGCCCGAACGGCGATCCGGGAGGAAGGCCGAATCCCGGACCGGGTCCGAAATGCTGAAAGTGGGGATTACCGCCAGGTCCCGGCCCGCCGACGAACGGCGGCCCCGACGATCCAGGCCGGCCGAACGGCGGACCGCCCCCTGAGGGCGAACCGAAGGGTCCGGGTCCCGGGCCGGGCCCGTTGTAGGGACCCGAGTTGTTGGGCGGCGGGAAGCCGGAATTGCCCACGCTCTGCGGCGGTCCGGGACCGGGGGTGGACGATCCCGAGGGGGCGGGCGACGCATTGTACTGCGGCGTGTTCGAACCTGGAGGAGGTCCTCCCTGATACGGGGGAGCGCCGGCCGGTGATCCTGCCCCCGCCGGCGGACCCTGGAAAGGGGAGGGTCCTTGGAAGCCCGCCGGCGGCCCGGAAAACGAGTTCCCCTGACCTTGTCCGAAGTTTTGGGGTTCCGAGCCGGGCGGCGGTCCCTTCCAGGTCGTGGCGGGGTCCTCCAGGGTGACGGGCAGCGTGATGGAGGGCGCTACGCGGCGGCTAGGGCCTACAAACAAAACAGGTACTGCTAAAACACCCTGCAACGTTACACCCGCAACAGTGATACTTAGGTTATGTGTGTGTGTCTTTTTATTACGCCTCTAACCTATATAACCATTGGCTTTTCTTTAAAAATAATTACATTTTGTTTTACGTTGCCCCGTACGACCCGGCCTCATAATGACACTTTCACATCAAATTTTGTTTTTCTTCTTTGACCGACTCATAGTTAACTAAACAACCAATCACTCAAGCAGTCACAGTTAAAAAACGTAAAACAATTATCTCAACAACAAAAACAACTGCACTCCAATCGGCGGATTTCAATTAAAAACCGGCATTCGTAACGTTTGTAACCTCAATTTTGCACAACTTATCAACTATCACATCAAGTAAACACTGCGAAAGTTAAACTATGGCGCATGTTTAGTGCCGCCATTTTTGTATACAAACTACAGGTAACTGTTGTACCGAGCGACTTTTGAAAAGCACCGCTTTAAAAAAATAAATACAAAAAACAGGTACCTGCGATTGCTACACATCTAACCTTCACAAAAAATTGTTTTTAACTTTAATCTTTCTAAAATATTACAAATTGTTTTACTTTTTTTACACTGCCTGGTGTTTTTAAATTTAAAAAAAATACCTATATTTTCTGTGTTATTAGCGATTATAACTGAAATATGACTGTTTAATCAGTGGTTTTATAGGTTAAAAGATAATAAATGAAAAGTGTTCCGTTGTGGTATCTATAGAAAGATAGAGAGAAACAAATGCAAACGCCCTAACCTTTTTTGGCTTTGCCGCAAGCCTTTTCAAGTAAGGGAGCAATGGCAACAGGGTCAACTATATTTCTTCTTAGGCCTTCTGCAAAAATGATCTTGCGAGAAGTTACAAAGTGCTGCCATTTTTACTGCGTGAGGCAGTTCGCCCGAGCTGCGGCCGAGGCGTGAACTGCCGACAGCGCCGCCTTCGACCGTCGACACATTCTACCGGTTTCAAATTCAAACACCAAACACAACACTTTTGCACGTAAAAACCAACCGAAGCAACTTGTGTAAAAAACTTGAAAACTCTCTTATTTCCCTGCGTTGCACTCGATAGTCGGAAAAATAACAACGAAAGCACTCGCGTACAGCGTAATTTTTTTCCAAAGCAGGCGAGGACGGTGGTAGTTGGTTGACAGTGTCACCCTAAAAATCAATAAAGTTGTGCGCCCCTTAGCCCTTCCCCACCCTCTGCTCATTCAACAACATCACGACTGTCATTAGGAGATTACGCGTCAGAAAGGAACGTATCGCCGCAGAGAGATGCACCTATGCCGGTAGCTCACGCTCACTGCCAGTCACTGGACGTCACTGGCTGTCAAAGCAGAGACACTCTGCCACGTAGAAGTAGTAGCCAGTTATCGCAATGAAAGTAGGTACGCCACCGCCGCGAGTCTACCGTGACTCCTCTTTACACCGCGATGCCGCTTCTTTCGCATCAAAACAACCAACTTCCACTGTGGAAAAGTGCGTCCGACTGCACATGGCCTCCTGCCTGCCTGCTGCTTGTTTGCTCCCTTTGCCAATAAAAACAAAAGAGGGGATGCTGATATCTAAATCTAGGCTTTACAACTCGATACCTACCTACCCAAAGTCTGCGTACAGGGTTTTTATCAAATCGGGTCATTTTAAGTCCAAAATTTATTCCCAGGTAATCCATGTATCATGCATACAGGTAAACATGACTCCACAGTGACACAATAAAATACAACATTTAAATTTTTGTAAATTGATTTTTTTATTTATCAAAATTATACCTACTGAAGTGGGTAATTAATTGAGGACCCTAGAAGCCAAGGGGTATAAGTACATTTTGTTTAGTTTTGAGATAATCATGTTTAAAGTAAAAATTCACATGTACTAATTTGGAGTCAAAATGGTTTGTTGTTTTATGACTTTGTTTTTCAAGATGTCTAACCTTAGAATTCAGTTATATCCCTTGGATATTAAGTAAAATTTAGCATTTACTATCTTTTTCTGTGCCTATCTACATTTTTTTTTAAATGTCACTTGTATCCCTTGGCTTCTAGGGTCCTCAATTAGTATTCGACAATCACTTGACGCAGCTAATTTATTTTATGAAGACGGTCCCACCGCATGTGAAGCATGGATAAGATTTTTTAAAAAGTTAAATTTAATATACAGGGTGCCCCAAGAATGCATTTTTTAATGACGTTTAAAATAAATTAAAAACTTTATTTAAATCAAGGTACACAAAAACCGGTACCCAGATCGCAAAATTTGATTTTAAGAATCTTCTAAGAAGATACCTATATATTCTTATAAAATTCTTAAAATCAAATTTTGCGATCTGGTTACCGGTTTTTGTGTACCTTGATTTAAATAAAGTTTTTAATTTATTTATATATGACCCGGAACACGGCGTTCTCTATTCCTATAGAGAACGCCGTGCCCGGAATAATGGAATATTCTTAGAAGCTTCCCTTGCGGCCTTGAGTTTACGGTGAATTCACCGTTTGCGTGAATTCACCGTGAATACACCGTTTATGTGCAGTGAATATACCGTCCATTTGTGACATTTGTAGACGGTAATTAAACGGTGAACTCACGCTGTTTTTGCGATAAATTCACTGTGATTTCACGGTTAATTCACGGTGATTTCACGGTAAATTTACGGTGAACTCAAGTTTGCAAAATCACCGCAAATTCACTGTAAAAGTACCGTAAATTTATCGTGAAATCACCGTAAAAGCGCTGTGAGTTTACTGTGAAAACACCGTAAATTGACTGTGAAAACACCGCAAATTGTAAGTGTAAGATTCGAACAATCTGCTAATTGGTTATTCCCAATACAATACAAATATCGCAAGAGAGCTCTCGTGTAGCTGCGCAAAATCAACGAGGTTGAGACGCCATCATAAAGAAAAAACAACAAGTTTATTAGTCGATTTCTGTGTTAAGCGGTTTAAGCAATACGAGTACATCTCACGGCTGCTTACGCAAGCGAGCTAACTATAAATAGCGTTGGGTTGCAATATTTAGTTGTAAGTGTGCGTCTGTAATGGCATAGCTGAAAATTAATTGTTTGAAGTCCCCATCTCCATCCTCATCTGCTCAGTAACGAATAATGGCTAGCTATAGTCGATTGTGTTAAACCTATAGGATATACCTACCCTTGCGGCCTTGAGTTTACGGTTTATTCACCGTGAATTCACCGTGAATATACCGCCAAAATACGGTGTATTCACAATTAAAATACTGTGAAAAGTGCGTGAATTCACCGTCTAACTACCGTTTACAAATGTCACAAACAGACGGTTTATTCACGGTGAATTCACAGTGAATTCACGGTGAATAAATCGTGAACTCAAGGCCGCAAGGGTTTTTAGTTCCCCTTAAGGCCGCAATTGCGGCCTTGAGTTTACGGTTTATTCACCGTGAATTCACTGTGAATTCACCGTAAATTCACCGTGAATTCAACGTAAATTCACCGTGAATAAACCGTCTGTTTGTGACATTTGTAAACGGTAGTTAGACGGTGAATTCACGCACTTTTCACAGTATTTTAATTGTGAATCCACCGTATTTTGGCGGTATATTCACGGTGAATTCACAGTGAATTCACGGTGAATAAACCAATAATAATAACACAATCGACTATAGCTAGCCATTATTCGTTACTGAGCAGATGAGGATGGAGATGGGGACTTCAAACAATTAATGTTCAGCTATGCCATTACAGACGCACACTTCCAACTAAATATTGCAACCCAACGCTATTTATAGTTAGCTCGCTTGCGTAAGCAGCCGTGAGATGTATTGCTTAAACCGCTTAACACAGAAATAGACTAATAAAAAAACCGCTAATAAATGGCGTCCAACTTGTTGTTTTTTTCTTTATGATGGCGTCTCAACCTCGTTGATTTTGCGCAGCTACACGAGAGCTATCTTGCGATAAATATATATTTGTATTGTATTGGGAATAACCAATTAGCAGATGGTTTGAATCTTACACTTACAATTTGCGGTGTTTTCACAGTCAATTTACGGTGTTTTCACAGTAAACTCACAGCGCTTTTACGGTGAATTCACGGTGATTTCACAATAAATTTGCGGTACTTTCACAGTGAATTTGCGGTGATTTTGCAAACTTGAGTTCACCGCGAATTTACCGTGAAATCACCGTGAATTAACCGTGAAATCACCGTGAATTTATCGCAAAAACAGCGTGAATTCACCGTTTAATTACCGTCTACAAATGTCACAAATGGACGGTATATTCACTGCACATAAACGGTGTATTCACGGTGAATTCACGCAAACGGTGAATTCACCGTAAACTCAAGGCCGCAAGGGTCGTCAGAAAAACATTTTTGAAAAGCTATTAATTGATAGGGAAGTCTAAAATATCATCTTCATATATTTCACGAATGTTTTCCGCCATTTGGTATACTTCTGTATCAGTAGAATTTAACAGAACTTCTGTTTCCAAAATACTGAAGTTAGTGGCTATTTGATGTAAACTAATTGTTTTACTTTGTAACTGTCTCATATAATATCTAGGGTCTTAAAAAAAAACTTCAACTCTAAAAGTATCTTTAGCAGTTTAAAAAACAAAGTCATTTGCAACTTCATCAAAAAAACGTTTGCGAATACGTTTTTGGCAAAATTCTGGAATTATACAAAATTTACTTGATGTAATGTCGGCCTCTTTTTTATATCTAAAAATTCATTCCGAAGTTTGCTTATGTCATTTAACACATTTTTTAAAAGTTTACTAGATTTTTGGATATCTTGCTGCTGATTTTGTAAGAGTTTTGATACTGTGTCTATGCGATTTAAAATGTTAGATTGTAAAATAATCAAAAACACTGTTTCAAAGTCCTCCAATGTACTTTTAAATCCTCTCGAGTCGTCTATTTCAGCCTTATTATTAGATGTTAAAATAATGTTTGACAAGGCCTTAAGAACATCAAGATACCTAAAACGTAGAGCTTTATTACATCATTGCGTGAAGACCAACCGGTTGTTGATGGTTTTTTAAGTTTTAATTTTGACTCGCTTTTACATGATTTAAGCAAAAATTATTATTATTATTATTATTATTATTATTATTATTATTATTATTATTGGTCTTTTACTATTTACTAAGCCTTCAGCCATTATTATAAATAAATGCCCTGTAAATGTTAAAATATATTAAAAAAAAAAATAATCCAAATATTTGAAAAAAATTTTATTCCATTCGCTGGTCGCGGGCCCCTTGAGCTCGCGGGCCTGGTTCCACCGAACCCACGGAACCATTGTAGCTACGGCGCGCCGCGGCGCTGAATAGGGATATCCCTGTTATAACATGGGCATCAGCATTCCGGTTATTGTGTATCGTGTAATGACTTAAAATTTTGATTTTTTTTGAAAAAAACGGTCAGACAATACATATTTGAATTGTTTCCAGGCCAACCCTTTTTGAATGTGTATATTTCAGCTATATATACCAACTTTTTGCTAAATTAATTAATTAATTTTTTGCAAAAATATATTTTGACCTTAAGGGCCTTGGAAAAACTTTGGTTTCCGAAAATCCGAGTGACCATTGTTTTATAGTAAATCGGGGTTGCCAAAACCGATTTTGACAAAAATTTTGACCTAAAAGGCCTTGGAAAAATTTTGATTTCCGGATACCCGAGTGACCACTCCATTTATAGTAAATCGAGGTCGCTGAATCCGTTTTTGACAACTGAATCCAATTTTAACAACAATTTTTTATAAATAAAAAATATTAAAGGAAAAATTAACAAATTGACTTAAACTTAAAAATTTTCCCAAAAAAAAAATAAAAATAAAAAACTTACTTTTATACAAAAAACTGTTACCTAACGTTAACATTTTTATAAATTCTTCCTCTAAAATTAATGTTCTGTAAATAAAAACTAAACGCAAATAAAAAAAATTATAATTCTATAAAGTTCAAGAACCTAGCTAGGTCTAGGCAAAGTGTTAAACACATTTATTAGGTATTTTAAATAACATCTTAATACGTAGGTAGATATTTATTTTATTTATTTATATTTTAAATAGTTAATAATATTTTTTGTTAGAGTCATCGGCGCCAATAATTATTAATTAAAGTTAATTAACCCCCCCCCAATGAATATTGTAGGTTGTATTTTTTATTTTTAATTCAAGATTGGATATTTTCCAACTTTCAAATATATTTATAGCCATTAGAAAAATGAAAATAACAAATATTTATTCAATATTAATAGGTGCACCTATGGGTATTATAATCATTGTTTTTAGACCTCTTAATTATAAATTTAAAAACAATATAGGTACCTACATAGGTAACTATGTTCAATTAATTTCAAAAACTTTAGTGTTTTGCCTAACGCAAAATAATTATCGATAATTATTTTTGGAGGCTCTCTCTATGAACCACACATATTTTTTTCTATGCCATTAATTTGAGTCCCTCCATTATTTTGCATTTGTTAATCGAGGTAAATGTATTAAAATAGTGAACGATTCAATTATTTCCATTCAAGGTTTTTAACATCATGTCCAATGGCCAAGACCTTGAGACAACAAAATTAAATGCACCGAAGGAAACCAACTTCCCGCCAGTTTTATCACTCGAGCGCATATCAGAAGTCGTTTTATTTGCAAATCTGAGAAGACGAAATGTCAGCTTTATTTATTTTCTTTAAACAACGTATGAGAAATATATTTCACAAATAATACTAAATTGAATTACCTACCAACAACGAATAAATATTTAATTCATTCAGCATTTAACTTTTTTTGTACCTAATTACCTAATAATTTTTGGTTAAAGTCGATTTTTATTTTCTTCCTTATTAAATATTGTTTTTACAAAAAAACAACAATCCAAATCATTTATTTTTGCTTAAGTATTTGTTAAAACAACCAGCCATAATTTACTTCCTTCAACTAAAAACAATAATTTAATTTTGACAAATTAACCGAAAGTCGGTTACCGAATTTAGCTTGCAAATATTATGCAACCAAGTATACATCACATATTTTGTAAGGTTATGTTTGTGTTTTTAAATTGCAGTTTACAGTTCCTCTGTGTTGCAGTTATATAAAGTTTATATTATAAACAGGATGTCCCGCAAAACAAAGACCTCAAAAAAGCTAGGCAAACTAATTATTAAATCTGAATCAGATAAAGAGGAACATGAATTATCCTATTACATTAACGACAGGGTAAAATTAATGAAAGAAGTTCTAAAAATAATTGATGCAAAGAAGATTAAAAGTATGGCACCACATTGTTTAAAGGTATTTTATAAATATATATTTATATATCCTAATATTATATTATTAATAATTAATTATTATCAATTAACATCAACATCAATTATTGATGTTTTAGAACATGAAAAATGAAGAAATTAATTCAATGTTACTTGAGGAACTTCTGGGAATATCGAACAAGAGGTTGAAGTGCATTTTTAATGGACAACATTTAGAAGAAGATTCCACCGATCCAGAAGAAGAACCAATAGATATTATTTCTTTGGACGATATTAGTGATGATGATTTCATTGATTTGGACTCAGGTTATTTGTTTACTTATGTTTTTTGTACATTATCTAAAGGATTTTTCAGATGTGGAGAAGAAAAATAAAAGAAAACACAAAATTAAAACAGAAGGTTCAAAAAAAAAGATCAAAAAAGAAAAAAACAAATCAAGAGACAAAGAAAAAGGTAAATCAGATCAGGAAAATTTGATGAGCGTTTTGGAATTGCTGGAACTTCAAGCTCGTGCGAGAGCTATAAAATCTCAGTTAGCCTTGGAAGCTGCAAAAAAAAGCGAGACAGAAACAATTGAAAACATTAAAATTGAAAGTGACAATGATGATGAGGTGATCATTGAAGTTCCTGAACCTGATGAGATTGTTATACCTTCAAGTGATGAAGAAGATGGAAAGGACAATAATCAAAATAAAGAAAGTGAAGAAAATGATAAAGAAAGAGAAATTGAAAAAAATAAAACTGTTAGTGTTCTTATTGAAGAATCTACCAGCAATGATAATACAGAAGAGAAGCAAATAATGGAGACTGAAAAAACAACTGAAGTGGAAGAAGTTAATAATGAATGTCAAATTGTTGAAGGAGGAAACAAAAACACTGAAGTTGTTAAAAAATTGGATGATAAATCAGAAGAAACTAAAAATATCGATGAAAAACCATCCTCAAGTATTGAAGACAATGAAAAAACAAAAGAAATATCTGAAGATGCAAAGGATAAAAGTGAAGCAACTCATAATGATGAAGATGAACTTGTTTTAAATGTCGATGAAGATGAAATGGATTGCATAATTTGCGATTAATTTAAAAACGTGTTTCTTCCATGGTAGGAATTAACAAAAAAAAATTTATGGTAAAAAGAAATAAAACGTTTATTTATTATTTTATTATTATATAAAAGTATTATATAAAAGTATTATAGTATAATACGTTTTCATGTCGCTAATTAATCTTTTAAATACACATACAAAAGTTCTCTTTTAGTTCCACCCAACATGAGTTGTTAACGTTAGCCACTAGAATTAGTTGACCTGATTTAAATTTAAATTTATGGTAAAAAGAAATAAAACGTTTATTTATTATTTTATTATTATATAAAAGTATTATATAAAAGTATTATAGTTTAATACGTTTTCATGTCGCTAATTAATCTTTTAAATACACATACAAAAGTGCTCTTTTAGTTCCACCCAACATGAGTTGTTAACGTTGGCCACTAGAATTAGTTGACCTGATTGTCAAGTTGTAACTTTGTTCGTTTTAGATTTATAAAAAATTTGACATTTAAAATTGTGCATTTTAACTTTTAAAATGAGCTTTTTCACTTCTAAAATGTGATTTTGTATTCATAGAAAAATATTATGACATTTTAAAAGTTGTTTTTGACATTCTTGAAAAATTATTCTGACAATCTTAAATTTGATTTTGACATTTCAAAACGGGGTTTTGACCTCAAATGTGATTTTGACATTCAAATTTGTTTTTGGCTATCTTAAATTTGATTTTAACTTTCAAAAATGTAATTTTGAGATTCAAAAATTTGTTTTTAACCTTAAAAAATATTTTGACAATCTTAAACTTGATTTTGACATTCACTCGGAGATTCATTAAAAAATGTTTTAAAATATAGTTTTGAGGTTCTAAAATGAGGTTTTAATTCTAAACTTTGTTTTTGACATTCTTGAAAAATTATTTTGACAATCTATAATTTCATTTGACATTAATAAAAAAATGTTTTGACATTCTAAAATGTGGTTTTGAGATTCTGATCTGAAATGTGATTTGACATACTTAAAAAAAATATTTTGACGATCTTAAATTTTATTTGTGGTATATATGTATGTTTTGAGATTCCCAATTTTATTTTTGACATTCTTGAAAAATTATTCTGACAATATTAAAATTTGCTTTTGACAATCTTAAATTTAATTTTGCCATTTTAAAACTGGGGTTTGTCCTAAAATGTGATTTAGACACTCTAAAATGTGTTTTTGACATCCTTGAAAAAATGTTTTGTTGTTTTATAATGTGGTTTTAAGATTTTAAAATGAGAATTTTACATTCTAAAATTTGTTTTTAAAATTAAAAAAATATTTTAGAATTTTAAACTGTGGTTTTGACATTCTTGAAAAATTATTTCAACAATATTAAATTTGATTTTAAAATTTATAAAAAAATATTTTGACATTCTTAAACGTAGTTTTAAGATTCTCAATTTTATTTTTGAAATCTTGAAAAATTATGTGGACAATCTTAAATTTGATTTTGACATTCATAAAAAAATGTTTTAACATTCTAAAATGTTGTTTTGGCATTCTAAAATCTGTTTAAGACATTTTTGAAAAATTATTTTGACAATCTTAAATTTGATTTTGCCATTCATAAAAAAGGATAATAATGAAGTAACTCATAATGATGAAGATGAACTTTTTGTAAATGTCGATGAAGATGAAATGGATTGCATAATTTGCGATTAATTTAAAAACCCGTTTCTTCCATGGTAGGAATTAACAAAAATAATGTATTGAAAAAGTTCTATCCCTGATTGGCCATTTTTTTTTATAAAAAAAAGAAATAAAACGTTTATTTATTATTTTATTATCAAATTGACACTCCTTAACAAAATTTGTTAAACAATAATTTACAACAAATCTTAGGCTTAATTAAATAGTTAAAAAAATTAAATTCTTGAGAGTTGCGCTTTAATGCTTCTAAGTTGATTCACTAAATGTTCTGTATTTGGTTTGCTGTAAAGAATGGAAAACAATGTTGCTACAGCATCTTGGCATATAGGTAATTTTTCTCCTGAAAACAAATTAATTAATTACAGAATTAAAAGAAAATAAAAACTTACTTTTCAATGATATATATTAATTAATTTGTTTTCAGGAGAAAAATTACCTCTATATTAAAGGATAATAATAATATATTAAAAACGATGTGGCTTCCTTTTGCCATTCTTGGTCATTTGCTGATAATGTTATGAGGCTGAAATATTAGTTAATTTAAAAATGCTCTCAATTAAAAAAATAACTTACTTATTATAAACAGCGACAAGTTTTTCAAACGGCACATTTAACGTGACCAAGTTTGTGGTACTAAATTTTTGTCCCCTCTCAACCTCGAATTAAGCATTTCCAATTCATACACATTATCTGAAATATAACAAAAAAATTATTAAAAATTACGACTTCAAAAAAATGTTAACTTTCCTAAAGGAAAGCAGTTCAAAGATGAGGCATATATGATACCTGGCCAGATGCTTAAGCATTGACCTTGGTGAGCACTTGCGCCATTCTGTCGTTGCCAGAGCCGCTGCTTTTTCTCAGCTCGTTCGTCAGAATTAGTCACAATCCACATTTAGTCGTCTATGCTCGATCAGCACATTGTCTGTGTAGCCGGCACGCATATTCATATGTTACCGACACAACCAACCGCTTCGGAAAGCCGATTGATTTTATATAAGTTACAGACGTAACTTTAGGATTCCATCGGTAACTTATACAGTTGCTCAATTTCGGGCTCAATGGGGGCTCAATGGGGCGGGGGGGCCCAATGGGGCGGGGTCGGTTGGGTTGGGTTGTTGAGTTTGGGTTGATTTGGGTAATTCATACTGACATTTCATTAATTTTGTTCTTAATTGTATTTCAATCACTTAATTAAATTTTAATCAATGTTTATACAACTTGAAAGTTAGCTTAATAATTACATAGTTAACCAGCTGTTTACCAACTGTTATACAACTGGGCCTTATTATTGTAATGAAATAAACAAATTTTCATACTTTAATAACACCACTGCTCGCAGTCGTTGCCAATCGTTAAGTTACAGACATAAACTAAGAATACGTCGGCAACTTATTATTACGTGTTCGGTATCGTTCGGAAATCCGATTGTCTCTTTGTGTCGGTAACATATGAATATGCAGCCGGCATAGTCGATGATTGCCAATTGGCGCTCTAGTAGTTTGAAGGGCTCCGCGAAATTTTCATACAGCTACATAAAAGTACGTGTTTTCAAGTCGCTAAGTAATCTTTTAAATACACGTTCAGGCCAATTCACTAACATAAGTCGTTAACGTTGGCCACTAGAGTTAGTGGTTATCGTTAACGACATGTTAGTGAATTGGCCTGATTGTCAAGTTGTTACTTTGTCCGTTAGTCCGATAATTCGGGAGCGCTCTTATTGGTCCAATTATAATTCAAAAATTATGACATTTCATCGGTCCGTCAAGTTTCAACTTCGTACGTCTGACAGAGAAAGTTCAAATAATTTTAACTCATCCGTTTTTGACACCTAACGTTATTTTAAGATAATTTATTTTCAAATTTTTTAATTATGATTCTAAAACGAAGTAATGACGTTTGTTAAGTGAATAATGTTGTACTGTTATGTTTTTATTTAATAAAAAGAACGGAAAAAAGACAAGCAAAAAAATATTAAAACCAGAATTAAAAGGACATGCTTTTTTAAAACTATACATTTTTATATATATTATATTTAGTATATACTAAATATATATATATATATATATATATATTAGGGTGGTCCTAAATAAGGTTATTTTCAAATTTCTTTGCTCCCAGGGGCTCAAATGCTTCCAAATTAATTAAAAAAAATACCCTGAAAATTTGAGCTCTTAATATTAACTTTAAGATAGTGCGCATTCCAATCTAAGTTTCCTATGGAAATAACATAGGAAAAATTACTTTTGTTTATAATTTTATAACTTGGGAACGAATAAATTAAAAGAATTTAACGCTCTACAAAAAAGGTCTCTTATAATTTTTCCATTAGTCTATTTGTTTAAAAGTTATTCAACGTCAAAGTTTAATTTTCATATTATTATTAATATTATCAAGGCTTTTTTATGAGGCGCCGTTTGTGTCAAAATTAAAAGTGCTAAATAAACTTATTTTGTTTTATAAATAATTAATTATATGCTTTACCAAATAATTTTTGTATAAAATTATTTTTTTATAAATTTTTTTTTGTAAAAAATTTTATAAAATAATTTTTAAAAAAATTTTTTTTTTATAAAATAATTCTTTTTTATAAAATAATTTTTTTATAAAATAATTTTCTTCGAATCAAAAATTATTTTATAAAAGACGACGGGCATTTATAAATTAATTTTTACTGCAGCCATCTCTATTTGTTTGTAGACACTCGAGTAAACCCGAGTAAACCCGAACGCCCCTCCCCAGATACAATTTTATGACGGACTGGGCTTTTGTTTGACGCAATTTGGGGAAACGATTGAAAATAATAATTTATTATTTTTATTCATTAATTTTTTTATCTACATTTATTTTGATTTTTACTTTTTAACAAGAATTCTTTATGTTTAAACGTTTTTTAAAAAAAACTAAAATAAATAAATAAAATACCTAATTCTCTTGAAAACAAATAAAAATAAATAAATCAATTCTCTTAAAACAAAACTAAAAATCAAAAAAAAATAATTTTATAAAAAAGAATTATTTTATAAAAAAATAATTAAAAAAAAAAATTATTTTATAAAAAAAATAATTTTATAAAAAAATTATTTGGTAAAGCATATAATTAATTATTTATAAAACAAAATAAGTTTATTTAGCACTTTTAATTTTGACACAAACGCCGCCTCATAAAAAAGCCTTGATAATATTAATAATAACATGAAAATTAAACTTTGGCGTTGAATAACTTTTAAACCAATAGACTAATGGAAAAATTATAAGAGACCTTTTTTGTAGAGCGTTAAATTCTCTATAAAAATATGTATGATTTATAATTTTTAATTCATTCTTTCCCAAGTTAT